AAAATCAGGCATAAAAAGAGAACTAAACAGTAGAAATTATTTTTTAGAAGTACTTTTAAATTCAAGACAGGTGGTTGTGTTTATCTCGGCCACATTGAAGACTCAATTTCATAATATCATTGCTATTTTGCTACTTGTTTGATAGGCTCCGTTCTCAGGTTGCCAGGCATTTCAAAACCACAAAATATGGTGAGAAGTGTTTTGGGAGATATAATTCCCATATTAAACACATGGGATTGAACAGGGGACAACGAGTACTCCTGTACAGTGTGAATTTCAATAAAGATGACAAGAGCCTCCCTGGAAGGCAGCCACACACAAGTGCAGTTATATGCATCACTCTGACAATAAGCTCGCTCCCAGCAGGTTACTGGGAAGGAAAAGGCTGTGCAGATATTAATAATGAGAGAGTGACTACCAGAGAGACTCACCATGCACACCTTCAGTGCAGCTACCTTAACTTCCTGACAGGGTCTGTGAACAGCAATCAGCAGCTCCTCAGTGGCCTTCACAGCCTGTGGAGGGATCCCAGGATCCCTAAAACTATGTGGGGGACCACAGGCAGCAGTGCTTAGGGCACACATGCACCAGGCTGGCTCAGAAACCACAGGAGTGCAGTGACCCTTCCGTGCCATACACTGGAAGCAGCATCACACATCAAGATTTTGGACACTGCAGTCTCCTTACCCATATGCCTGCATCCATTTCAGCACACTTCTACTCCTGTGGCTTTTAAAAGCTCCACAATGGTCAGTTACCCTTGAATACTGATGCAAAGGCACACAGTTTTCTTCAAGACTCTGCCCTAGAGCCTCATGCCAATGTTATCTTCTCTCCCTAATCCCCATCTGAAAGAAAGTTGAGGTGTTTCTAAGATCTGCTGTTATTAATTTGATTCATCAACTATCTTGAAATGAAACCCAACCATTAGTTCCTTCCCTACATATACTAAAAAAAAAAAAATGCAATCACATGATCAGAGACTTATTAAAAAAGCAAATATCTATAGAGTAAAAACAAAAGGTAAAAAAAGCCAACAATTTCAGGGCAGCCCTTTACCAAAAGTATACTGGCAACTAGAGGGCCAGAAAGATTTAAGTGAAAACAAGGAAGTGAATTCTAGGAAAAACCAAAACATTTTTCAAGTGTGTCTTTGTAGAGGGGAATGCAATGAAGTTCTCAGTGCAAAGCCTGGGAACACTTTGTGCTGCACAATGTTGAAATAAAGTCTCATGTTTGTAGAAAGAGGGTTACATCCACGAGCTGTGATTTCCTTTCACTGCCAATAATCTTCTATTTGTAGACATAATAGTCAATAATGACAGGGGCCAGAACATGAATACTCCACATCCATATTCCCACATGGTGCTCTCAAAGGAAAACTCACTACTCCAAAATTCTCTCTCTACTCCTGCCTTCAACGGTACACATTTTCAGCTGTTGCACATTGACATAGTTCTCTTAATATCAATTCATATGAACCAATAACTCAATCAAAAAACTAATTACACTTATCCTAAAATGGAAATACATTGTTCTAGACCTCCAAATCGCCCAGGAGTTGACACGCCACCATAAAAGGCAGGGTTATAAACTTGAATTTATTATAGACAAATAAAGCTTTGCCCTATGAATTCTCTGCCTATTAAGTTAATGAGCCTTGACAAAACAATCATCTGAGGAGCAGCTGACAAATTATCTGGAGCAGCAATTTGAAAGGCGTTGGCCGGCTTACAAACATTTCAGTTGGGAGAATATGGCATCATGTTCCTCTTCCTCTGGAAGAGTCATTTGTCAAACTGAATTTCCTGCAGATCAACAGCAGATTCCCAATACTGGAGCACTGATATAGAACAATAACTGTAATTACTAAGTAAATAATCCCTGTCATTTCCTCCCCAAACTTGAGGCTCACAAATGCTGATGCAGAACTCTTTCTAGGAAGTCTGCATGAAGTAAGCAAGGTATGTTTTTATTTTTGACTGGAGCTCACTGAAGTGTTTAATGTGGACGAAAAGAGCTTTGAGGAATTCAGGTGAGTAGAGGGGGACCTTTCAAAATACTTGGTCAGTATCTAGAGGCTTTTTTTTAGTGCAACTTCCCACACAGCTGGTGGTATCACAGCTGTGGATTTAAACCAGGGTCTTTTACTAGATGAATTCTTCAAAATTTTCCACACAACACAGTCCTGAAACATATTGCCTTTGGGAAATTTAGGGCTGTGTACATTAAATACTCTTGGAAGAACAGCCACTTGCATTAGGGTAAAAATGAGATCAGTGCTTTTCTAAAATCTGTTCTCCAACTGTGAATACTGGGTCCATTTGGAAATTGAATCATGATCCGTTGTAAAGCTGTCACTTTCCTTACCAAAGGCATTTGCTGAAATATTATTTCAAATGTCTTCCTCCACACTCAACTATTCAGAGTCCTGTGGAAAAGATGACAGTACTGAGAATATGGAAAACTGTCATAATTTCCATCTGAATGTTATTTCACAGTGTGAAGGAACTACAAATTATAGTAATCAGTTGCCTCTGCAACAGCATGTAGCAGAGTATAGCACAGCATTTAAGCACGAGTTGTGTCTTTTCTCATATTTTATGTTCTTTTTGCAGTTTTTGTTGGACTGTTGATTTAAACAAACTTATTAAATATACAAGGACTAGAGATCAAAATTATATTAAAGTAGAATGAAGATAAATGAAACCTTGTTCTTAAAGAGAATTGCTAACTCATACTCAGTAGAATAATACCCAGCTTTCCAAGTCCTGATGTCAGGCTATCCAATATCTGATGACCAAGTATTCAATCAATCATAACGCAAAAGAATGTACAGAATTATACATTCAGGCCTGATGTATACATTCAGTGCCAAAATGGCCTGGTTTTATGTGCCCTCCAGAGCTCTACTGATTAATGACTTCTAAGTATGTGGCTGCAGGAAGTAGCCTTAACATAATCTTTTTCCCCAACCTCTCTCCATAGCAGTCATGTCTAGAGAGATCAACCATTCAGCAATGAATTACTTCTCTCTGTGGTTAGCAAGACACACAACTCCATGGCCCCAACATCCACTAGAACCCAATCACTCAACTTTTTAGTTCAAGTTGGAACCTTTCTTTCTAAGGGGATCATTGTAAGAGTCTTTCTATAATGAACTCTTCCATTGTCTCATTCTAAAACCTCAGAAGAACTGCCATGCACAGATAAATTACTCGTATTTATACTTTACCTAAAGAACCAGAGTAATTTTACAACTTTTTGCCCATCTATGAAATTTAAGGCAACATTAGCAGAGAAATTAAAATATTGTGGGTAGCTCTGTTAGTGCCTGGCACCCTTGTGTCACCATGATATTTTTATGAAAATCCTTTGCTAGGATTTTTCTCCTATTCTAGCTGAGAAGCCTCAGAAAAGAAATGTGAACAATAACTATCTGATGGCTGTGGAAAGTGGTCTGGACATTGTTTACCAACAGGTGCATCTTTGATTAGTCCATGTGAGATGTTTCTACTTAATGACCAATCATGATCCAGCTATGTCAGACTCTCTTGAGAGTCATGAGCTTTTGTTACCATTTCTTTCCTTTCCAGCTTTCTGATGGATCCTTTCTTTCTATTCTTTTTAGTATAGCATTTTAATATAATATCATAATATAATAAATCAGCCTTCTGAAACATGAAGTCAAGATCCTCATCTCTTCCCTTGTCCTGGGACCCTCGAACACAACCATAACCTTGTGCAGATATTTACACTTTTATAAAACCTTGTAATAATCACTCAAACTTGTTTCACTCAAACTTGCACTGGGCTGAACAGCTTGACTAATCACTTGGGCCACTTTGATTAAGCACCTTTTTACAAATTGTAGAAACTACACAGTTTTCATTCTAATAAACTGACATCTTCTGCATGGTTTTGCCACATCTGTAACAGTATTTGCTAGTATTTGTCTTCTTGCTTTTTTAATGGAGCTTTCTATTTCATAGTATTGCAATGCTTTTCACAGCTGTCTTCCTAACCCCTGGGGTTTCCTTCCTGTTAGTGTATCTTACATTAATTTACCATTTCACTTTCCACATACACACTTCTGCTCTTCCCACATTATTCTTTGCTTTGAAAAATGTTTTCTGTAGAAAATGTCTATGATCAAACCTCCAAACATAATTATTTTTCTTCTGTTATAGAATATAAAAGATGACAGAGTTTTTCCTAACAGAGGAAGCACCCTAGAAAAATTGTGCCTAACTCTTCCTCTATCTCCCAAATATTGTTTGCAAATGGTTTACTACCATCCTTGTAGTCTGTAGAAAAATAGCTGGGCTATCTATGCTAGTGTAAAGTTTTGGATAGTCTGCTTTCCTTCATTAAATATTTATCAGGAGGCAATCACTGTCAATGTCTTACAGAAAGATCTTCCATTATTTCAGTTATGGAAATGTTCATAATTTTAGGCTTTCCTAACCGTCCTCTCAGAGCACAGCTAGCCTAGGGAATGCTGAATTTTAAATGCATTCCTGACAATGATTTGGTGAGGGAGGTGATTATTTTTTGCTCTATTTCTTCTGAATGGCTTAGGCAGCTGTCCTGTAAACCCAAAGATGCTCAGTGAACTAAGTATGCACAACAAAGGAACAAAGTGACTGAATCAAAACAAATTACTACAGCTTTCAGTGAAGTCTTGGTCACTTTCCATACTCAAAGAGAAAGAAACACTGAATTCAGTTGCAAAATGTGGTACACATTATGTAACCTATTTTAGAGCACCATTCCAATGGATCAGAACATTGATCTGTGTTCATCACTGGATTTTGGATGACCAAAATTATATACCAAGGTAGCATGTATCTCCCAGTGGTGCGGATGTGAAAGCATGGTTAAAAATAAGCACAAGCTGTAGAAAAAGAAGATCTATGGTGAAGATGCAAACTATGAGATAAATCCAGTGATGTTCATGCAGTTTAACAAAGGAGGTGAGGAAGAAGCGCATGCAGTACCTGGTGATCTCAGAGTCAGGGAGCAGGCCTACGTGGTAGTGGGGGTAGGGAGCTGAAAGAAGGAAGCTTTTGTCACACTCGACAGGGGAATAGTGCCTAGGAGAAGGTGGTTTATCACACAGTTTGTTCACAGTGCTGTAAACAGGTTCAGGAGGCCTGGTGATACAGAGACAAGAGTAAAAGATCAGGTGCATATTAGTTGCTAAGAATATAGAGAAAACACAGCAATCATTTCAAAAGCATGCATAGCAAATCTGTCAAGAGCTTTTCAGTGGGGCTTTTCCAACAAGTCAAGTGTGCTGTTAAAGGAATTGTTAGAGTTTGATAACACTAGTGTGGCATTCAAGTAGCTGCTGTATATAAATATACACGATACAAGTGGACCATAAAACTGGTCTGTGGGAAGTGTGGCGCCGAAAGGGAGTATCTTATCTCTGAAGTTGAGAAAGTGAGGCATTTTTCCCAATAATTATGCTATTTATTTTTTTTAAACTAACATCTACACAGCTTTCTGCAATCTTAATTTTGAGTACAGCATAGAAGAAAATGTTTACTACCTGAAAAAGAAATATTTTTTACCCATTAATTTATAATATAGATGAAGCACATATTACTTGCTAATACAACATACTCCTGTCCCAGTGAGCTGGGACTTTGCAAGTAAAGCTGTTGTCAAATTGACCCATATCCTAGAATAACACTGATGGCAACAAACTGTGTCAGCAATTCATCTCATGGGTGGCAATTCATTGCGTTTTAAGAGTTCTTTGCACTCTTTCCACATTCAGCCTTCAAAATCCGATTATGCAGTTAGCATCTGAAACAGTTAACCTCATTGCCAAGGCTACTGCAATCGCACTTGCAGGGCTGCTCCAATTTGCAAACAGCAGCCTGTGGAGTTAGATACAAAGAGTAAGAGCTTAAAACTAAAATTTCTCTCCTGCTGCTGCAAGCCACTTGTCCGGGGGAGGTAATACTCACCACAGCCCTGCCAGGAGCCATCTGGGAGAGGGGAGAAGGGAAAGTAGCCTTTAGTACCTACCAGCCAGGGATCCGCGGGACAGCAACAGCCAGTGGTTTGCAAAACAAACCCACACCACATGCACAGTGCATCTCCCACCTTGTAAGTTCCCTGCCTTGGCCCCAGGACATACCTTGGGGCCCGCTGGCACTGTGAAGCTTGACTCATTGTTTCCTGACATTTCTGCTCTAAAGAGTGCCAGGGGTCAATTGCTATCATATCCACGCTTCTGCCAGAAGAACCAGGGTATGTCACTGCCTTTCATCACTGTCATACAATATTAGCTAGATGGAAATCTTATTTCAGAAGCCTGAAAATATCAAGAGGCCAAGAAGTTAATGAACTTTTTTTGTTTTTCTGGCTGCACTGTGCCTCACACGGGCGTGAGTTTTGCTGTGACTTTCACAGGTACCAGAATTTATTACAGTCGTGGATGTGACGGCAGATACAGCGAATCTAATTTCCTTTGTTAGCTTCTGGGTTTGTCCTTTGGGGGAAAAGGAGTAGCTGCTTTACTTAAAAGCTGCTCTTACTCAATGTTAATAACATTATTCATAGCAATCTGCAGCATGATTTGAGAACTCTCTGTGCCTGAATTTCCCAGGGAAGACTTTACAGCTAAAAAAATGACAATTTAAGATTACCAAATAGCAAAATAGCAAAGCTGTCACTCATTTGGTTATAAAGCATTGTGTGTCAAGCACTTAGTAAAATCCCTTTAAAAATGTTTAAGGTAACAATCATTTTCTATCAGTATATTTCACTTGTTTCTGAGGGATGGATTTAATAATTTATTTACTAAATCAGTTGCTGCTTTCAATAAAAAGAAGCAGATAAAAACTATTCTATTTCAGTGTTGTCCAATACTGCCTTTTATTCCCTTGGAAACCACTTTTGCTTTTAGACAACATATGAAAGAACAAGTACAAATATCAAATATAAATGATACCTACTAAGAAAATTGAAGAAATATTGCCCCAGTGCAGGAAGATGAATAAAAATTGTAGATTCCTCCATGGCTTAGAACACTAACCAGTTTATAAAAAATTTATTAGTGTCCTATATTCAAGTTAATTGTCTTCTCTGTGCTGTAGACGACATCAGAATGTTGCTAGCCCTCGGATATATTGTGAATGCTCAAACTACACTGAGTCATCAGTCAGTGACCATCCAACCTCATGCTGAGACACAAATCATGCCACAGACATGGGTAGATATGAGGAATTTCTTTGTTAATTGACAGTTACAAGCTTCCTCCAAAAACAAAATGAAGTTAAACATTCAACATCTACCTAGATATTGACACCAAATTAGTCTTTCAAATATAAACACAGAGTCCTAACAAATTGTCTTACGAAGGCCAGCAAGTTTTAAAACATTTAGCAAATGTTAACATGTTTTAAAACATTTTTCACTCCATTCAGTCTTCCTGGGTGGTAAGATAACAGGAAACTGGAGCAGCTCTGACTATAAAGTCCTGTACTCACTGATATTCCCAAAGTGATATTGTGACCTAGTTAACATCATGCCCTCTGTATTTGAGCTGCTGAGAGAGGTCGTAAGATTAAGAAAAGGAATTTACACTTCTTATCCTTTTAAAACTTGCACTCTTTGATTAGAAGAAGATTTAGGATATCAGATAATTCCAGTTATGAGTGCACTTTGTATAAGGCCTATGAAACGGTGTGAGATCACCACAACCACCTGCTTCCCTTGAGATGTCACTTCTTCAAGGTCATTGAGAGCATGGACTGCACTGGTCCTTCAGATGCCTCTATCCTATTCAGATGCATCAGCTAACAACTACCAGCTGCATAGTTAGGCTCTGATTGCATGTTTTATTGGCACAGAAAAGCAAGAATTTGGAAAAAAAAAGCAGTACGTATCATCCAGTGTCCAGGATAAGTATACTCTGATTTTCTCTCTCAATGTGGAGTAGTAAATACAAATTAAGTAGTGTAAAAATATTTGGAAGTTGGGATAAAAATATCAAGTATAGGAATGGCTAAAATGATATGGGGCAGATCACTGTCCTGCTCATAAAAGCTGTGCTCCTTGTAGGCCATTAATCACAAAAAAGTAATATGAGATACTTGCTGCAACAGCCTGTCTTCAAATATCCTTCTCATTCTTCATTTTCTCTATGGCAAACTTGTACTTAACTACAATAGTAGCCACCTACTAGAAGAAAACAATACCCTATTATAAAAAAGAAGATTATGAAGACCACTCAGCTTTATTAAATAATTGTTCTAATGCAGCATTTTCTCGTGCCATTTATATTTCTCCTCACAGAATGAAGAAAGAACTTCTTTCCAAAGGGATCAGCCCACCTGATAAATCCTGTCTCACACATCTTCTCCAGTGCTATGACAGAGACAGATTGTCCTCTCTCAAAGCATGGGATAATGAGAATGCTATTTAGAAAGAGTTTTTAATGTGCCATTATGAAAAAATACAGCCAAGGTCACCTCAACTTGTCTTGCAAAATAATTAAGAGCCAAACTGAACATAAATACTGAGGCCTTTCTTTATTATGCACTAATTCTTCAAATGAATTTAAAAACATGTAGCAAGCCATTTAGTATACTTTAAGAAAAGTGTAAAGGCTAGATATATATTATTTAAGGACTAATTTACTGCACTTTATGTGCAGTTGCATCTCTTTCAGATACAGCCAGTATAGCTTCACAGCCAGTATAGCTTCACAGGTTTAATTTAAAAATAAATGCTAACCAGTTTTTGATTTTTTTTTTTGAGGAATAACAAAGAACTAAATTATGGAATTTCTTTTGTCCATTATCTTAATTTTCATCAATACCTATGAATAAAAAAATCTCCTTAAAATGGCAAATGTGGGAATATTGCTGTAAACATCTTTGATAATTGCAATATCTCTTTTAAAGAGTAATTATGTAATGTGGATCTACTCTGAAAAGTAGCTAACTACTGCTGTAACTTCTTAGTCAGATCTGCTCCCCTTCTGCCTTTACTCTGCTTATTTAGTGACAAACAGGCATCATAGTTCTCTGTCTTTATCAGTGAGGTAAAAACAAAGCTTTTTGACAAGAGTAGCAACTACTAGGTCTGGATGGACAGTAACAACTACATTAGTCTGAGAATAAAGCACACAATAGTAAAGGGACACAACAGAAAATACAAGTAGTAAATGTAAGTAGCAGCACAGTAGCAGCTTTAACACGCCCCAACAGAGAGTTCCACTCACAGGACAGAGTATCAAGTCACTTAACACCAAAGTTAGGCTTTTAAATGGTAACATGAATAGCAGAGAGTCACTCCTCCAGCAAAAAGTAAAAAGTAAAAAACCTGAAAGATGGAATTGCTATTCAGAACAGACGTAACAGCAGTCAGGCACAATTCTTACAGAAAGGTAGAACTAATTGGTGGAAAAGATAACAGTAGCAGTGGGAGGTAGAAAATTGATCTAACACTGGTTTTATTTATTTCATAGCAGACTGTGCAAAGCGAATATTCCTTGTTGTTTGCAGTCCTTATTATTCCTTGATTAGGTCATCATTGTTTTGTTGTTTCAGGCTGACTTAATGGTGGAACAGAAGTTATAAAAAAATGGCATTTTTAAAAACCATTCTCTCCTCAGCATCATGCAGGATCCTCAATTTAAAATTAACTTTTTTTTTTTTTTATTGCAGAATGCTGTTTGGTAGGGATCAATTGTCAACACACAGCACATTAAATGTTAACAGTTTCAGGTTTTCAAACATTTCAAAACCTTTTATGATATGGAAAGAAACTAGCTCAGCTCTCACAGCATATTAAGTATGCAGAGCTATAGCCAGGAAACAATCTAAGAGAAAATAAATCTCCCAATGCTACAAGTTTACAACTTTTTGTTTTGTTCTGTTTTTTGAATAGCAATTTTTAATTGTATCCAAGTTCCATAAAGACATCTAACACATTAATTTTACTAATATAATGTTGCTGGGAAGTAGACAAAGAACTTTTTAAGAAGTATTTCACTATTGAACCAAAAATCAATGGCAATTTAATACAAACGAAATCTTCCATTTTAATAGCCAGTGATTTTTATATATATATGTCCTTTGACTGAGCTACTTAGTCATATAACCTTCTAGAAGAACCACATACCTCACTG